TTATAACTTATATTACAGATGATTTACTTGACCTTATTTCCAATACGTACTCTAAGAGTAGGCCAGTTATCCCGCATTATCTTATATTTTTTTCTTGATTTTATATTGATTGGTTATGAAAGAGGTTAGAGTCGTAAAATTCAATATATTTTTTTACATTACCTAGATGAAAGAGTTAAGGATAAAAAAGCTAAAGAACCGAAGTTTGCATTCTCAAAGTTACCTTTATAATTATCATGAAAAAAGCCGTAGTTTAGTTGGGAGAGCATTCGCCAATTTGATATTTTTACCTCCACGTAAGACTGAAAATTTTCTTAGCGATGAATATATAAAAAATATAAGGTTTTGTCTATTGTTTTCACTTAAGGAGTAAAATTAAAATTTGTTAGAGCATTTTCTCTCAAATGAGCTTTTATTAAGCAACACAGTTTGAGTAATACAGTTTACGTAGGGCAGCTTTTACGGTAGGGCTTCAATTCAAATTGTTCGGGTAATGTTTGTTATTTACCCCGGATTGTGCCGCCTCGCTGTGATTACGTTAGCCGTAGAGCCGTTGATCCACAGAAGCCCGCCTAGCCATCCTTCTGGGTACATTTGTTAAAGTCTCGTCCAATGTACAGACGACAGCAAATCAAATTATTAAAAACTTATTGCACGCTACACAGGACATACTACAGAGAAGCTAGATAACAGAAAGCAAATACAAAGAGCGGCCACATTGCTTCACAGCAATATTTTCGACGGCAATCCATGATGAAGGCAAAAACGGGTTAGTCAATTGACATATGCGAATAATGCAATTAAATAAATGAAATTTAACGAAGTCATTAAATATAAACATATTTTTATTACAGTGTTAAGAGTTTTCAAGGAAGTGTATTCACTTGTGCAACACTATTAATATTTATTCCTATTTTAATTATCTCAATAGAATTAACGGTGCGTGGATTCACTAATCGGAGTTTTATTTTATGTGATCCTGTGCGTGCGAAATTGGAATGTACTGAACATGGTTTAAGTTATAAACTTTTAAATTGCCATCAAATGTATGAATAAATTGTATATTTCCGTAATAAATAGTTTCAGTTACAGCCCTTAATAGAGTCATAATGCCTTTAGAACACGAGTACATTTTGGTTACATTTTTAGTTACCTGTAATATATCTCTTTAAAGAGCTTGCACCTTCTGACAGTAAGATCCTGCAACGTATTTTTATAATAACTTATATAAGATTGTGTCAGATTAGGAAACGTGTTAGAGAAAAAACCATATAGCATATTATTTCGAATTACATCGGTTTATAATGATTGAATAAATATATTGAAAATGTGGCGGTATACCTAGCGATACACCGGCATAGTATTCATGTTATAAACAGGGGCGCTGTCTAAAGAATTCTCTAACGTGCATTTTCCATCTACATTTTCCAAATGCTTTACATTATAGTGTATAATGTAAATAATAAACTTTCAATATTATTATCATATTATGTTGGGAATTCGCTTTCGTTTATTTCTTGTCCAATTGAATTTGGATCGCACATTTTGTTCTCGGCAACAGTTACGGGATTCTGTGGGCCAGCAATAAAAGTAAGCGCTCGGCTGGATCAGGACAAACGCGAGACTAGACCGTTTTGTTTAATAATAAATTTGCAATGAAATTAAAGATATAAAATAAAGGAATGACGAGGATCTAGATAAGATATATATAGTGTACGCAAAAGCTTCTTTTACAAGATTTCGAAATATAAGCCATCAGATTACAGATTGCGTAGTGGATATCGCGTTGGGTTTTCTATTGCAGAATTAAAGCAGACAATAGTCCTCTAAAAAGGGTATCCAAAAATGTTGTTATCAGTGTTTCTCCATGGAGGAAGCTATCCCATGTGTGGGTAATAATGATCAATTTAGGCGATCATATCAATCATAATCCGATCACTCAGATTGTTCTTATGGTTGTCAGGACAGTCAAATATGCTTTTAAAAATAATCATAGTTTTTCCTATTCATATTCATACTTTTTTTATAAGTTCATACTTTTTCCCGTACATTAGTATTACTACATCCACTATAATGTTTCAAAATGAGCTTTGTCAGAATCCAAGGTCTTACTGTATACTAGCAGTGTGCAATGGAAGTACCTATATTAATTAATAGTGTGTATTTCTTGCATTCATCGCTTTGTTGTAATGCAACCAACAAATAACGATCTTATCATAAAGATCGCATAGATTACTTATTGTTAGCACGTGCTATTGTGTTATGTTGCGAAATTGAAATTGATTTTTAATCGTACGACGTTGAAAGTTCATTTTGCTAATATGAAATTAATTATGTAAGTCTTTTTATAAATCAGCACCTTTCAAGGTAATTAATTGTAAATTTCTATCGATAAATATGTAAGAATTTTATGATTGGTCGTATCCCATAGGAGACAGACAGTTTTATCTCATTTATTATGAATTATGATTATTTAATTAACATGTTTCAGAAAATTCTATGTTTGTTTCCGTTAATTACAATTTGATGAAAGCCTTTGCTTACTATGATCCCTTTCTATTTATTAATGCATAAAAAGCAAATTAAGATCCTTTTCTTTTAATGGGATATTATATGGTATATAACCTTTATGATACTAGATGATTTCAAGAGTCTATAACAGTAACGTAACACCACCTTTGTTGGTGTTTTCGTGAAAGACCTATTGTTAGTCAGGTTAATAGATAAAAAGAATATACCTGTAACAATAGGGCACTCTATAATACCTATATTAGATATCAGTCCCTTGTGAGTCCCTTACATAATCCTTCTTGTACCTAGTTATTGCAGCTTTTTAATAAAGGATAATAAGTAACAAAACCATACTATCCCACTTAATATTATAATTGTGATAGTTTGTGAGGATGTATAAACAAAAAGGATAAACCTTTTGGAAAATGATATCTCTTTTGGAGTGAATATTAAAAAAAAAAGAAATACGTAGACACTGACAAAATTTTATATTATTACGAACTAAATGTTCTTAATTTATTAAAGGAAATTCACTATTAATCCTATAATTATTTATTTTTACTAGCTGTTTTCCCGCGTACCTAAATTATAGCCTACGTCACGCGCGTATGATGTAAATTCCAGGTGAAACAATTTCCATGATCGGATCAGTATTTCCGAAGTTTACTCTTTATAATATTTGTGTAGAAAAGTATGTGGTACCTAAAATTAAGTAGATATTTGTCCGCAACCCTCAGTGCGTGAATACGAGGGACATTTTGGCCGGATTTTTCAAAGTATACACCGTTACGTAAGACGTCTCGACGTACACTTGCGTGCTTCATGCACCGATGCCTCCACTTGGCAGTTGCGAGAGCGGATGTGCTTCCTCGCCAGTGAAATTACAACGGTCATTTTTTGTCAACTTGTTGCGTAGCGTTTAGATTAACATCTTTACGAAAGATTTATTATTATAATAAAATACTTATTTTCATTTGTTATTATTAGTATAAATAGTATATTAGACAATCAGCCAGTTGCACAATCGTCCATTAATATTTTCATTACTTTAAAGTGACATTACCCATACAAATTTGATATTCATTAGAGGTTTAAAGCGTCATTAAGCCTTAATGAACGTTTGTGCAACTGGCTGTTTGTCACATACTCACTTTTAAACTATCGCGCCGCATTATTAGATAGTTATTATAAGTATGTAACATCACATACATTGCTCAGATTCCAAGATGAGTTGCTAAAGCTCCCGCATTATGGAGTATCTGAGACAATGAAGGTACCACAACACCCAGACCCGAAACAATATAGAGAAGTTCATTTTCTGCATTAACCCGACCTAACCTAACCCGGCACCTCAAAAATGGTGACACCTTGAAACCGGCGTGCGAACCACTCGGTTACGAGGGTCATCGTTTAACATCTTCGGAGGAAATTTATCATAGATACTTACCATTTTTATAAAATGATAGCACGTGTATACGATTAATTGTTTAGCTAGTTTTAGACTTCCGTACCTGAAGGGTAAAACGGGAATCCTATTACTAAGACTGTCTGTCACCAGGTTGTATCTCATGAGTCGTGAAAGTTAAACAGTTTTCTCAGATGATGTGTTTATGTTTCCGCTTGGACAACAAATATTAAAAACCAGAATAAAATACATATTTAAGAGGACTCAGACACAACAAACGTGGCGTGAGTCCGACTCACACTTGGCCGGTTTATTTATTACAATATAAATAATAATAATAATGTTTCTTTATTTTTCTCCACATTTAGACGTAATATAAAAAAGGTGCAATTGCATACAATATATTAATGGGCATCAAAATTTATTGTGAAGACTGGTACCTGCGATTCAGTATAGAACCTGTTTTATAGGTCACCAGATCTCCAAAATCAGGAATATAAGTGTAGTATGGGGACATCTTATACAATTAAATCCAATGATTGCAATAGCTCATAAGTAAATGTAAAAACTTATCGTCGACACAGGTACACGCCCACAAATGCCCGTATATATACAAACGTTTAAATGTTTCTTTTTTACAGTATTTTTTTCTAAACAGTTGGTGTGTTGATTTGTAACAATATTATGAATTTAAAAGAACACGACATGCATACATAATTAATATTTACCTGATTAGGTACACTACTTTTAGGTGAGCGGTCATAATTTTTAATTTTATTTACGAAAAACTTTGAATCGACTCGATTCTTATGTTTATTGTAATCGTTAAATAAAGGTCATAGATGAAATAACACAAAGATAACAAAGAAAGTTTTTCACAGAAGTTTACTCTCAAGAAATTATGAAATAACCTTTGAAGTGTACATTATATAAGAAGCTATATCATACATATAAAATATAGCCCAAATTTTCATTGTAATAATGTATTGTATTTGCTTTCAGGACAAGGAGACGGTCGGGCTCCAGTATAGTCGTATTGGAGGCGGAAGAGGAAAAAAGACCACCCCCGGATGACGACAAAGAAATGCTTACCATGCTCTCGCTGTCTTCCGACACCGGTGAGTCCAGAACTATTTATTATGTCCCGCTAAAAAGAAAACTGACTCAATTATAATATCGGATATTCATCCAGTTGCACAAATGTCTATAGAATTTGTCGTTAAAACTAGTACGAATAACATAACACCCGAGGCCATGTTTTATTTCTCTTCTTACTAAAATTGTTTATATCATATCTGCGAATTTTATATGTGCATCAGAAGCAGTGTCAGGTACTACTTCCGTTGCATCATAATTTTTGGTCAGTAGAATCTTCTTCTTTAGCCTATCTATACTGTAGGCCTCCTTTCCATTAATTTCGGCATGGAGCTTTTCCCAGCGGATCCACGAATGCAAATACACAATGAATACGAATATTCGTGATAATATAAAAGTTTATTTTGCTTTATTTTTTCTTTACTAATATAGAAGGTAATGATATGTTTCACGTAGGTTGGAAATTATGATAGAAAAGAAAATGTTACAACTTGCATCTTTTATATTAATTGATTTTATCACATTAACAGATATAACAGCAATGTCAATAAAACAATCGAATGTACACTTATCATAATATATACTAATGAAGGCTTTACGCGAGAAAATGATTATTACAGTTGGTTAAATGTATATATATTATACATTTGCTTGCTTCTTGTCATTACATCTTAGTTTTATTGGCAACGATCCCTGTTTTCTGATAATAGAACTTGTGTTGGCCATAATACTGTCAATGTTTGCCTATTTCGCACTGTATTCCTTATACTTTATCGGTAACATCAGTTGAATAGTTTCCTGTGTTATTCTTATGTGATTTGGTACTGTGTCTTGACTTTTGAAGTATTCTACTTCATATAACACTGCAGTAATATATATTACATTCACTAGATAAAACATATGTATATTGTTGCTCAAATAATATTTCTATACTTGGAATTTGATTTGATGTGATAAAGAATGCGAATTATTTACATATATATTATTGGTTAAGGATACATTCTTAATATCATCATTTAATATAACGTTTCGTCGCTTCTGCTCAAGCTTATGAATTTTTAAGGCCATAGAAAAAGACAGAACATGATTAATTTCATGATAATCGAAAATTGAATGTAACTACTTAATTTTTGTGTAAGTTGGAAGCTAAACTTGCCACCATTGAAGTTTTCTGAGAACATAATTTCTTTGCTCTTATTATCCTCCTTATTTAAAAGAATTTGAAATCTCAGTATTCCCTCGTTACTTCACAAGTAATAGTCATAAATTTTAACAGGAACTTCTTTCAAGACTACCACCAATGAAAATTAACCTTAGGATTGAACTTATCATTAGACTGTAAGTTAGCAATTTTTTAACAGGCCGCCCATCAATTTGAATGTCTGTATTTTTCAATGACCTCACCAAGAACAATTGTACAAAATACAGGAAGAGATTCAAACATACGTTAATTGTTTTTTATTATTACGACTGATGCTATTAAAAAACTGTAATTATACTTGAGGAACTTCATTCGCTTTTTATGATAACACATAAGTGTGTAATGTATTCGGCTTTAAACCCATTTCAATTAGAGGAAACTAACGTGTAAACTAAAAATAACATAATTTTTAGTTTACACGTTAGCTAGCACTTATGTTAGCACTTATGTGTTATCATAAAAAGCGATGATAAAACGAATAACCCTTAAAATGAACTTGTATTTCAGCAGCTTGATAAAGCCAATAAAGCAATAAATGTCATCTAATACCAAATTCGCTTATGTACCCCGTTGCCGTTACAGCAAAAACGACTCGTCATCGCCTATTCGATTCATCATACGTGTAAAATGCTCGATGTATCCAATACAATCTTCATAACAAACTGCCCGGTCGATTTTGGGAGGATTGATGGTCGGCCATGATTTATTATGCAGATTGTAATACGAGTATGCGTCCGAACAACCAGCTATTAATTTATATGTAACATATGAAATTTGAAAATGTATTATTTTCTTATCAAGGTTAACTTTTAATTCTTTTATTTCGTATTGACAATACTTAACTGTTTTAGATCAAATATATAAGAATATTACTTTCAGATATATGTTATTGAAAACAGTACAGTATTTACAAGCTTTTGTTTAGTTTTACCTGTCCCGTGTTTATCTTTCTGTAATGAATTATTGAAAGCTAAATTTTATTAACTTTCCAGTTTCCTTTAGAGCTGAAATTTGAATTATACTTTTAGTTTTGATGACAATCGGTACAATTTATGAATTCAAAATTGCCGCTATAACCAAAATGGCGGTGTACATATTTCTTAATAAACCCAATATGGCAATCTAATGGCTTAAATTAAGTTTGTTTAAAAAAAAAGTTTTATTTATTTTTATAACTTATATTAGAAACCCTTAGTAGTTTTGTAGATAAACTAACAATTCCATTTTTTTCTTTTAATAGAGTGACGCTCGTTGTTTTGTAAATATCATCAAATTTAATGCTAAACAGCATTGATGATAACTTTTTACGAAATAAAGAAAGCACATTTTCAGAAGCCCACTTTAAATCAAATTGAAATCATCAATATTAATGCGCCAATTTTATTAACCAAGAAAATATAACGACCTCCGTCTAAATTAGATTTTCTAAAAATATACGTCTGACCGATTTCGCAGTTCGTTCGGTGTTATATTTCAGCTAATTGGTTGATAACCGAGTGGTCGTGGTTATGAACAAATTTATCCGGGTCATTTGCCCTTTGACGGGAATTACCCTACAGCTATTAATTTCCCAGGCCGTGCTTCATGCTTCCTTATTTGGGCGATTAGTCGCCTTTCGCGGGAAAATTCTCGACCCAATCGCACCGACCGGTACTATTTTGATATTATCATCTAGATTTATATAGTGATCTGTCCTGAACCGGTTCAAGTTTCATCTTGTTAATTTAATGTCTACGTTCTAACGTATACGTCAAGGATGCGATGCTATCAATGAAATATTTTGAAAGAGCCTTCAGCTTGTAATCAAGTTATCGAATTAATTACTAGTTTTTTATTAATTTAAATTAAACTTTACCAGGAATTTTTCCTTTTTCCTCAATTTTAAAAAGGTTTGTTCAAACGTTTTTAGAATTGAGAATCAGATAGCGTATTATTACAGTATTTTGATGTTATTGTCTCATATTAATTACTTTTTTCAACTACTTCCAGGTCCCCACCGTGAGATGGCGGTGGACGTACCGGACAGTTTCATCGCGAGGAACAAAACGCCTCCTCGGTACCCGCCACCCCGACCGCCTCAGGTACGACTCCGGGCCTCCAGGGATGATGAACCCCTACTATTATCATCAGGCGGCTCTGGTACCAGCTTCGGCAGCAAACAGAGCACCGTACTGCAAAGCACTATAGACATCTCTGGACCCAGCTCAGACGGCTCGGGCAGTTTCAAGAACAACAGCACAATTGAGTTACTGTCACTTCCTCAGAGTTCAGACGGTTCAGGAACTAGTTTCGGAAGCAAAAAAAGCAAAGGCTCCTCTGAAACCGCCAAATGTGGCGACCTTATTTCTAATGGCGAAGACTCTTTATTAGACTGCAGGGAAGGCGTCACGTATTCAGCTCGAACAGACTCTGTGCTGATTCGGGAGGCGGTATACGCTTCTTACAAGTTGCCTCCTGGGTTCGACACTACTCCAGTACTATTAGGAAGGGAGGTGGCCGTCGATGTTCCCGACTCCTTCGTTCAGATTGTGAAAACAACTCCTAAGTACCCTCCGAGTATTAAGGGTACCGTGGACAGAAAGAGCGTACAGGTAATGGGTACACAAACGCTACGCATGTAACATTGCATCTGGGGGATCAGTTGGTATAACTGCGGTTTTGCTGACTTCAGTTCCTTTACTAAAACAGGGTGAGCTTCTAACTAACAGGTGTCGGGTGTTTCTTAAATATTTAAATTGACTATCTATTAATACAAAAAGGTATCATGTTTAAATATATATTTGTCGTATTAATTAATTCTTATTTTGTTATTTTTTTATGGTTTACGAACCCTCACTACTTATTTAACTCTCACTCTTTTTATAAGTGGATAGTTAGCTTAACGAAACTCTTAAAGACCTCAATTTGGAACACTATCTTCTTTACTATTATACTTGTTTTAAATATTTCATATTTACAATATTCAAGATCATCTCTCGCATATTGCCATTAGATGAAGACTAGATAAATATGACATTTAACTTGTCAATTTACTCTACGAGATTATCATAATCGAATATAGATTTTTTATTAACAAATGTAATCAATAACAAGATATCACCATTTTGTTCAGTAAAAGATTGTTCAATTGTTATTGTAGTGCACAATCATTTCACACATGTCGTAGAATTATCACAAATCGCTTAAACAGTCATTATTTATAAATCATCATTCGTTCATAAATTAATAAAAGCTTGTTGCACAAAACGCTCTGTCCACGACTTAATTGAAGGTTGGATCATTGGATAGATGTTAGATCATTTCAGAATTCAATTTGGGTTCTGAAGTTTTCCTGCGATTTCATCAGTGGGATCGCAATCGTAGAATATTTATTTCATGTTCTCGTTCCCCTGAGATAGATGTGGATGAGGCTTTCGTTTATTTTTTCATTACATCCACTCGAAAATATATCACACAGCGCGCGCTTGAAGGTTTGAGTGACGCATTCTGCCACTACATTCCACTCACAAAACATTCAATATTTTAATGCTCTTTTATATTATCTAATTATATGAAAAAAAACCGGCCAAGTGTGAGTCGGAGTCGCGCACTTAGAAAAGTAAAAAAAAAAACTTTTTACTTTGTCGGCGTAATTGACGTGTAACTCCTGCCAAATTACAACTTTCTAGCATCAATAGTTTGTGAGCTAAACTGCGGACGGCCGGACTTAGCGAAACTATAAGTGTTCTTTGTTTACTAAAACTATCATATCTGCATAAATATTATAATTTTAGGTAAAACTTTAGAGGAAAATATAAATTAGTTATTGAAACGTTAGTTAATTTTTTATTATCATCATTTAATGAGATATTATACTTGGTAGAATTATCTGGGCAGAGGCATGCAGTGTATAGTCGTCTAACAGTCAGGTCTGATATAATTAATTATGAGAAAATCAGAAATGGAATTGGAGGAATAATAACCATTGGATAAAAGAGATATGCTGTCATTTATCTTAGAGTACAGTGTAATCATATAAAATGCTCTATCATTATTTTTCTCGTGCTCTAATGGCATTTCTTCTCATATATTACCAAACTCAGAAATGTAAATCTTCTGTTTGACCATTTATTTATCTTTGCTTATTGATAAAAGCTATTATTGTTTTTGAAACGATGCCATATTGTGAAGGACTTGTATATAAAGAATAAAGAAAATAATCAGATAACATAAAATATAGAGGGTCCAATATGGAACCTTGGCGTACTTAGTGGTATATGAATTAAGATTTTCAAATTATATTATATTGAATCGCAGTTCATTTATTATAAAGTATTATAAAAATCGTTTTATTCATCATCTACTTATCATATCTTATTTGACACTTGGTAAGTATTTAAAAGTATAGTGTATCATATTATTTATTTAACTGCTTTTTTATTTCAGATTCTTATTCTATAGTCACTTATTCTTTATTATAGTCATAATTGTCTATTATTTTGTTTATTATAATGGATGCATGTAATATTGGGTTGACATTGTATGTAATGGGATTTAATGAGAAAATACGTATGGAATGCTGTTTATAAACAGGATTGTGATTGGGATTAAAATTGACTTGTGATTCAGTTGTAATAGGACGCTTTTTAAAAATTTTGTCTTATTTAATGTTACATAATTTTATGGATATGTCGCAAAGGTTTGTGATATATTCATAAGTCTAATTTTTACAAAATTTATTTCTATACTTATTAGTAGTTATTGTACAATAATGTATATATAAATGTTAGTACTATTTAATATTATAACAAACGTATCTTTATCTCTTATTGATATGAGTCATTGAATTACAAAGCTGAAAAAGCTGTTTTTACAACGTTATATTTTGTAAATATGAAATCCGCATTATGAGTGTAATTTTGTTTGTTATTTAGTAGAATCTCCAACATATTTTGCCGGTATCACGATAAGAGTACTTAGACCTTTAACTACATTAAAATATTGGACATTTTAATAAGTCAGGTTTGTTCAACCCTTAACCATATAATTCAGTTTTATAATTATCGACTGCAATTTGGGCTTTGTTCTTTTGATCACAGTCTATTTTACTATAGTTACTTAATTTTCCATTACCAACATTTAATAAAATATTTTTAGCGTCCGTTTAGTAGCTAGCGCAGAGCAATCAAGCTTTCACAAGTGCTTGTTGTTACAAGACTGAATAAATAATTTTGATTTTGATTTTTGGTACGAGACGAGCAATCAATTCAAAGTGGCCTTTGTGTCTATTTGTATTTCATCAATATTTTCATTACAGATATGAATTTTTATTTGCAAATCTTGACATAGTTTAAAATCTCATGATGTCGACAAAATGAGGTTAGTTTATCTTAAATAAATCTTTCAAAGTTTATATATGCAGAAAATAACGTTGTTTTATATCATATTTTAAATAATTATGTGTAATAGATAAGCATCCTATTAAAAGCATGTTATTATAAGAAACTGGGAAAGAAATATTCTTTACTAATCGATGATAATACGGGGAGAGATTCAGTGGTCGAACTTCATAACAGTATTGGAGTTCAAGCTGATATGGTGTCTAGAATTAATTTTTATTGCCATTTAAATATCACCTACTTATGTGGAATGATGATAAAAAGGGCCTCAAATGCCAAAATCAATTTGATAAAAGAAGTTACTCTGTATTTTCTTAAATAAATATCACAGTTTTTCCTTGAATGGAATTACTACAAATACAAGCAAAATTAAACAATAGCTCTTCCCGAATCATCTTCGGTTTGTTTTTGGTATAATAATTGAATTTATTGTATTGTACAAGAAGGTAAATATTTTCATTTTCTGAAATTAATTGGGTTTAATTATCACAATTAGGCATAGATAATATTTCATCTGGGTTCATTAACCCGTGTTAGGATACCAATATATATTAGACATCTATACACATCTATTAAATATCGTAAATAACTATTGTTTAGATCTCAAGCAAATATACATTTGTAAATTCAAAATAAAGAAAGAACCAGAAATACCAAACTCGAGAGAATTTAGTCAATAAGTTTTTTCTTTTCTGATAAGGAAACCAAGAATTGGATAAGGTGTCGTACCGAGATGTCATGATATTAACATGTGGTATATACTCGACCAAAGAGGTTATAAGTTAGAGTTAACCGGTCTTTTACAACAGTATATTTTAACTATCCATACCAATCTTATAAATACTTTAGAGGCTGCATGCGTGCCAATTCTGTTATTATTTCCTAAACCTAACTAAAATGGATTAATTACTTCGCTAGCTCAGTGACTTTAAATTTAGGGCCAATTCAGCTCAATCGGGTACTTGACTTTAATAGTTTTTAACAGTTTCAGATACAGTGGGCCGTTAACGTAACTAACCAGATGGTAACAAAAATAACTAGTTATGCTGACACACACGCTACACTCACTTTACCTTTATAACTCTAAAGTTAAAAAAAAAATAGAGACGTATTTTTTCACTGAGCTTATCTTACATAGCGGGAAGTTAATTAGTTACAGTATTAAGTTGCATTTAAAACGGCTTGTAACGTTATAAACCTTGTTTTTTGCTTGTACATTGACAACTTGCATGGTCGAGTGACTTGTATGATTATTTCATGGTGTCATCTTATTGTTTTTGAAAAGTCTAGTGTTAGAATATCAACCAAAATAAGTTTAAATTGGATTCCTGTGATCTATTAACATGTTGTTTAATTTGTTTTTTACTACTCTATTGTGAAAATCAATTCGTTTTGAGGTTGTTCTACCCTAGACCAGGTTTAAGTGTTTGTGGTTCTTTTTAAATCTTTATAACAGAATAGTTTAGTGACTTGAGATCTAAGCAATATGATTAATGGCTACTTTATAATGTTACAAAGAGAAAACATTTGTCTTTTTTTTTGTCTGTGATGGGCAGGAGTTGAGCTGCATCAGGCAGCAGGTTATTACCTTTTTTCCATGGCATTAGTGTCTCCTGTCGCTCAAAACCGCCATTTACTAGATAGAAAAAGATAACAGGTGTGCGATGGTTCGCTGCGGAATCTTTCACGCGTTAATCGAAGGCAAATCTGAGCGATAAAAAGGACAGGCCGTTGGAAATACGCTAGCACATGTAGCTCAATCCAAACTCAAAAATTACTGGTTTGATTTTTAAAATTCTTTCACAAATATACCAGTGAATAACATAGGAATTTATTAATTGTAAGTCTGCATAAAAGACGTGCGTTCAGCTATTTTAATGTTATGATGGTTTTTAGCAGGTGAATGGAACAGCCAAGATTGCAGCGCCGGCGGTGCCGCCGCGGGAGATTGCGCGGGATCCGCCTCCGCGACCCCCCGCCCACGAAAATGTCACCAAGGAGCAAATGGAGTCCATCAAGAAATATCAGGTCAGTGGCTCTATGTTTACAATATATTAGGAGTTGGTGCGAGTCCCTGTTTGGGCGCCAAATGTACAACAAAAAGTATTGTTGTGATGAATTCATAATGTTGCGGGTAGCCTATGGATGCGGGCAGCGTAGGACGAATCGTCGGGGCGATCTACGGGCCTATGGTCTATGTTCCCGTTTTACGGTTGATGATGAATTCATAAATATGTGTTTTAAATGTTGACGGAGAAAACCCTTTTTTTTCATTCATAAGAATTGTCGTATTAACCTAAAAACAAATGTTTACTTATTTGATTTTATGCTTTTAAGATACGAAACTCTAATCCTCAAAGCAATCAATTCGGAAACGTACAAAACGAAATTCGGTCTCGATAAACTTTTGATATGTTAAATCATATAAATTTTAACATTCGTTACATTTTTATCGATGCTGGAACAGAACAAACAAAACTCTGGAATCCCTCTTTTAATAAAAAAAAAGTGTTTGCGTGTTACAGTTTTCATTTTTGAAAAATTTTATCTTAACAAAAAACCTGTCAAGTGCGAGTCCAAACCGGTACAAACCGGAAGGTATTTATAAAAAAATATTTTTATTATATGATGTACCTTAAAATTTACGGTTTTCGTAACTTTTACTTTATGTGTACTGAGTTCCCGGGAAGTACCCTGTATGTTTTGATTCCCTTGCGAGTTTCGAAAATTTACGGCATAATCGGCTGTATCTTTGATTGTATTGCCTTAGAAGTTTGCTTTTTTCACATCTCCAAGGGACAGTAGATCTGTGTATTTGATATAAATTTTTGATTGATATTTCTACGCATTCCTGAGTGATAGAGTCTTAACAGACGGAACCTTAAAAACCTACTAAATACTACAAGGGCTACATGAGCAATTCAGCAGTCTCACTAAGTTCTTGGGTAATTAAAGTTTTTATAATTCATAATAACGAAGAGTAATATTTTTAACCAATAAGATATCAATGCTGTGCATATTTGGATATATATAAAAAATCAATTAATTTAATAAGTTTACACAATTTTTTTGTTATAATTATATATACCTATGACACATATCGTGCCATTTTGTTTACTGCACAGAACTATTTCTTCTATACTTTATTGTATGTAGTGCTGCCCTCTGCGGTATTATTTGTATAATAACCATTTATTGGTAGAGCAGGCAGTGGGCCGGGCATCTGAAATTGTTGAAAATTTGCGTGGTATTAGTATTTACAGTCGTTTATTATTAACCAACATCGAAAAATAATAGTATTTTTTCAATTTAACTGTTTTCTTGTAATCTATATTGTACTTATTTTGTTTTAAAGAGTATTTATAATCTCAAAATTACGACTCGAAATTATATCAGTAGTTTTGTTTTAATATAATAAATGAACTGGGGGAACAACATCGTTTAAATTAACTTGATGTGGTGGTTGTCACAAAGGAACTCTAAAATAAAAAATGTTTATTGTCATAAATAAGACTTGAAGAAAGTCGTAAAATAATTCTTGTTTTGACAAATTCAAACTATATATAAAACAGACGTGTAAAAACTTGGCCATGAAATCTTCGCCTAAATCAAAATTTAATAAGTTAGGGGCCTCCAAATTTCCGTATTTGTACACACTAATCGGTCCATTGTGAGTGAAAAGATAGCAGTATTAATCCAATCAGCCCATCTCCGTCCAGAAGCGCAGTAGCATTTTAGGACCTTCACAGGCTTCGCGGAGTGTTGACAGATTGCCTAGTATGTGTCCCTGGTGTGCTGCCAGCCAATTGTAATCCAAAATAGCGTGATCAATGGTTTCTTCTGTTAACATACACGCCCTGGAGAGAAGGCAGTTCTTGATACCTATGTAAAGTAAAAAAAATGCATCATAACTCATGGTAAACCAAACTCCTAAGCTTGATGCCAAATTGAAGGTTTATTTCTGGGATTTATTAATTCAAACAGATAGTATTTCGAAAGGGTATATATTTTAAGCACGGTACTGTTACCCTTGTAAAATTTCTAATAGTAAAGTAGGAGTTAAATCACTGCAAAGTATTTTAAATGTACATGTTTTTAATAACAATACGAAAAATGTGGTGGTCAAGATTTCTTGAGGAGGAGGACTATAAAAAATATATGTATATACTGAATCCTCGATATTAGTAACCTTTGCAATCGATAGAATTGCAATAGTATAATTTAGCGAAGATTTTTGTAATGGGATTTGTATTAGAGATCCGTACCCAAAGGGTTAAAAACGGAACTAAGACTCCGTTGTCCGTCCAGTAGTTGGGGAGTTGAAATTTTCACAGATGATATATTTTTGTTGTCGCTATAATAACCAGTGGTCGGAATTAGGTAGAGTTATTCATGTACTTACACTGATTTCATACAGCGAAAGAATATGAAATCAGATTCCATCTAGGCTAGAAGCAAATGTATTCGCTTGTATTTATAAAAAAGGCGAAATATGCGTATGAGAATTTGCTTAAGACTATCAATAATTTGAATTGTAAATTAATGTAAACTAATAAAAATTTTATGTTAATTATCTTTGGTTTATTTGTCTATCTCTGACGTTGTTATTATTATTTAGTTGTAAGATTGTTGGCCACACGGGATTGTCCATTAGAAATCCCTGGAAGGTCTACATTAATATCAACATTTCGATGCAAGTCCATAAATAACTCTACCTAATTCCGACCTCTGATAATAACAAATAAAAAAAAAATGGAATTCTGTTCAGCTAATCTTTTTTATCCTTCCCCATAACTACAAAAACTCTATTCTACTCTGGATAATTTTCTTGGGTTCTGCTAATATCGCTTTGAATAGGTGTTTCTTGTTGGTAAACGTTAATTTTTTTATTAGTAAAAGAATAATATAGTTGCTGCAGTTTTTATAAATATAAAAGCTATCGAATACACGTAAAAAAGCTGCTAAATCATCATAGATACGTAAATATGCATTAATATTTAGAAAATCGGCAGTATGTTTTTTTTCTCAAAAACATCGTTGTAAAAACCAAACTACTCATACAATTGATTTGTTGTAAAATACAAGTTTTATTTTCATTAGATTTCTTTAATGATAAGCATGATATATATTTCGATAAGGATTTTTATAGTTAATTTAAAGCTGTCCAACTTATCTTTACAAAGTATTCGTATATCTTTAACTGTTTATCCACACCATTAGCTGCCCTCGGAAGTATTTCTAGGGAACCTTTTAGTGGGATAAAAAGAAGCCTATATGTTAATCCAGACTAAGAATTGCCTATATATCAAATTTCATCATAATCCGTTCAGTAGATTTGCATAAAGATGTAACAAACATCGAACCTACAAACTTTCGCCTTTATAATATTAGTACGCACGATTAGCTTTCCGCCAGCGTCTACGCTTTCGAGGTCCTGTTCTATACCTATACATAAACTTCGTCTTGAATCTCTTTGTATATTGATGAAAACCGAAATAAAATCCGTTTCGCAGAGCGATTCTGTAAAAATCCGAATTCGAATGCACTTCATTTAATGTAGAATTTATATTGATTCCATTTTTTGTATAAAATACAAAACAATATTGATTGATTCATACGTGTCTCATATTTTCTTATTCCTAGGTAATTTCGAAACTCATGCCATACAAACGTTATATTACAAAATGTCAATTTTGAGTGAATTCGAATTGGTTTTTACAGAATTGCGGGGCTGTAAACGATGTCACAGACAATAATTGCTTGTATTCAAATTCTACATATGACGTCACCCGTTGGTTTTTTTGTCTACCATTTCCTGCAACACCATTGTTTGCAACGGTCAAAATCATTATAAAAATCGGTTTATGGTGAATGTCACCTCATTGTTATTGGAATGTTTCTATTTGGAAGGATACTCACACTGTGATCGCTGAAATGTATACACGCATAACTTCCAAACGGCTGCACGAAATTGAATGATTCTTTTTTTATGTGTTTCTTATTGTCCGGCCAGTAGAAATTTATAAACTAGAAAATAATATGGCGACTTAAGATATATAATATGGCGGTATAAAGTACGCCGTGTCAGCTAGTGGGTTAATAAAAACTAAATTTACTTTTCAAGATATGCTTTAAAAAATCACCAATCCCACCTAGGACCTGCCCAAGATGGGATCACCACCAACAACCTCTCGCAATTGGTGCGACTTTTTTTAAGAATTTTTCTATAAGAAAAATATCAATATAGCATTGTGATTGCAAATTGATCTAATATAATAATAAATTAGTCCATTCAAATTGAAGTAAATCATTGAAGAATATATATATTTTCATAATGGAACAAAAAATTAACACTGTAAGAAGAGACTTAGGACGAGTAAGATAGATTTATATATTTTTTTATTTTAAATAAAGACGTGAGTTAGAAAACGAACTTTTGTTTGAATCTAAATAATCAATTATGAGGACTATTTATTATTGTTTGTGGTAAACGAATGTTAAACACTGAGTAAGCTAATTCAACGATTTTGTTTTTTAACGATCTTCGCCATTATTATGACGCATGTTTGAGAAAAGTATTAACATTTATTCAACGTAAATATCCCGATTTTAATCCCTTTTTTTTGTATATCGGCTCGTAATCTTGAATTTTAAAGGCTCTTAACGAATTTCAGTCAGTACAGAGCATAAATAAATGCCTCTTTTACATAATCCCAATGAAAATGTATTGAAAACGTTATTAAGTACGTGAATAAATTATTCCCAATAAATTAAACTGCTGAGTATTTTTGAAAAGAGTATATTATTAATTTGACTTTTATGTAGGTAATATTTTCCACGCCACTCTGCTATGCCCCTCGCCCCCTGGGTAAGACTACAGTATTAAATACAGTATTATTAATTAATTGTACGATCAAGCCCATACATTGGCAACGCATCGTTTTTATAATAGCCTAGTTCACTCATAATTAACAAATTACTTTTATGTAATTCTGAGTCCTAAGTGAAGTTTTTTTTGACGTTTACAT